GAAGATAAAAACAATTTTTTAGCAATTTTTTGCACTTACAATTTGGCAGGCGCGAGAAATTACGCTGAAATAACATTTTATTTTTATTTCATTTTCGGCTTCTGCTTATTCGGCGGGTTCGCGAAATAAGGGATAATAAAAGTCTGGCCTAACATATTTATATGTATGTTACATCAAGAACAAGGTAAGCATTAGAATACATATGCTGCTCTCCTATTCCAACTTGGTGTGTTTATTTTGGGAGACTGGTTTATAGTGTATGAGAATATGTTCAAAATATCCAATGGAGCATATGTAATGTTTTCCTTGGGGAATTCGTCCCTTATTCTTATCGTTACGCTAAAACAGCACTTTTTGGTTGACTCTTATAAATTCTTATAAAAACACTTCCTTATGCACCCACTTTTAAGTCAGAAAATGTGTTTTAAGACTATTTCGTAAGTTTTATTCCTAAACTTGATAAAACAATCACTTCTGGCTTCAACATTATTTATTTATTTAATTATTTATTTATTTATTAAACTACCGCACATACCAAGTTTAAAGGCCTTGTGGAGTAGCAGTGGGCGGCACACAGTGTCGAAAACCTTCCTGAAATCAGTATATATGGAATCCACCTGTTGCTTGTTGTTAATAGCAGCAGATAAAAAGTCAGTATATTCAACCAGATTAGTGGAGGTTGATCTGTTTTTAATAAAGCCACTTTGATTGACAGTAATATTGGGGCGAATATGATTATACAAATGAGGAAAAATAACGGACTCAAATATTCTGGCAAAAAGCGGTAACAAAGAAATTGGACGATAGTTAACAACATATTGTGAGCAGCCCGATTTAAAAATTCAACTGAGAAGCGAAATGAACCAAATTATTATATAAAGAGGTATAAAAGATAACGTCAATACACGGCTTAATAACACGAGCAGAAATACCATCAAGACTCCCAGATTTATTATTATCAAGATCACTAGTAGCCCCTATAATCCGATACAGCATCATGAACAGAGATTCAATGTAGAATAGTATAACAAATACAATTTGAAGTGCCCTTATGTTGAATGTCCTTGAGACCAGCTATTGATCTTATCGACATATGATCCCACTATTCAAGCAGAAATTAAGACAGTTTCAATTGCAGGAATTATCTAAATCTGTTCACGTGATTTGCACAGGTAAAAAATGTCACGCGATTCCTAGTATATTATTATATTTCGATTAGTGAAACATTTCATGGCAATGGAGACTTTCAACTTCAAAAATGTATGAATGTCATTAGTGTGTACAACGTATAATAACTTTTATTTAACGTTAAAAATTATGAAATTAAAAAGGAATTAATAAGCAAGTTTTCCCACACCGACCATTTAGACTGGTGCTATCAATGAATGGCTTGATGGATGAATATGAACACAATTATGTTATAAAGTAACGTACATCAGTGGATTATGGATTTTGTCATCCATAGACTGCCATCAGTTGTTTAATTAATCTGGATCAGTAGTAAAATTATATAATTTTGACTATATATACCGTATTTGGTCAAAGTTATCAGACCGAGGCCCCAAAATAGTCGAGTAACAGTACTTTTAAATATACGGGGGAAAGTTGTATTCTCCACTTGGATCATGTGACAGCAAACACGTTCTGAAAAACAGTCTTTTCCCAGTAATCTGACATGGCTTAGAACAAAGATATAAGTAAACACGAACTGTTAATCACAGAGTTGTGTTCACATATGGATTGTGCGTGGGAATACAAGATGCTGGACTCGAACCACATTGATCAGCCGACTCATAAAGTAATCACTCTACTAACTAAGAAAATTTCTATGGAGGTACCCGCCAAATAGACTTATTGAAGTGGTATTATTATGTGACATTGAAATATTGAAGGGTTGTGGTCGTCGCGAAGCGCGTATTCGAATTTCATATAAACGAACAATGTAGTGCCATATTGAACACGACAAGGCGCGACGATCGCTGCTCTTTAATGGCGAACAACAGAGCGTACACAATACCTTTAGTGTTCATGTGAATTGGTGAGTTTTAAATTTTACCGGTTTCATTGTAGTATAAGTCGATAATACCACAGCTCGTTATCGTGTGTTTATGATCGTAAGCACCACGGTTACAGCCAGCAAGATAATGACCACTACTGTGGTTTCCACAATCATAAACACACACAATCTCGACTACGTCCGTTTTTATATTTGTGTATATTTGTGAAAAAATAATGGTTAAAACCTCGTTTGTTTAGAATATAAATAAATAAATATATATGTGTCTAGTGTAGGCAGAGACTGGGATTACATTGACATACCCATGACGCAAATGACGCACAACTATCGGTCTGGCGTGATTTTCCTATCTTCACTGAAAGCAACAATATTTTTTATCCTGACAATGTGTTTGTTCTGTATGTGTTCGATTAGCATTATATTTTCCTAATGGAAAACCATACGAACACCGTTAATTGATTTGTATTATATATTTATAACAATAGAGCCAGTAAGCTTAATAAGAATGCGTACACCATATTTAGCTTTCAAACTACAAGAGAATCTTGGTATATAGTAGATCGTATTGCATATATCATGCAAAAACTATGTGATAAAGCCATGTGATATTTTCGTTATCACACCTCCAATATTACACACTTTATCGGCAATTTGATTGATTCTTGCACGCAATTTGATACAATAACGTCACCGATTGATAACCTCCAAGGAGACCAAAACAGAAATCGTTTGCCGACTACAAATATACTTTGTTATAAATGTTTTGAATGTGGTTAATTCGAATGTTTCGGCATTACACCAATAATTTCAGATTTGTCGCATCTTGGGCAAACGGTACAATGGGGTCGGACGAGCATGAGATTAGGAGCGCACACACAAATACGTGTCACATAACTTATAGCTGACGTGTCATATGGTCTGACAATTTGAATTGATTTTCCAGAAGACCATTATGTATAATCTTACATACTTTCATACTCTTTTCTTACATAGCAATTCACACTTTTCAGAGCCCTGTGCGATATAAGAATGTTCTTACTGCTAGGTGCTGCTGAATACTGCCAAACATTTAATTATAATCTTTCATTAATCGTCATTGCCTAATTGACACATAGTTGGCACTATGTCATTGACAACAATTTTAATACATTAAATCTCTTATTCAAATTAAATAAAAAATATTTTATGAGAATGCTACTTAAATTAAATTAAAACAAGCTATAACAGCTGTCTTTTGTACATTGTTTGTCTTTCAGGAGACTTAGATGAGTGTGTCTAAAAAGGTACTCAGTATTATGGTTCGAAATATCAGTGGGGTCGATGCAAACATTGTTATGCAAGTTATATATGATATATAGAACAGACTAGAATAGAATAGAAATATACAACCCCCTCTATATGATAATTTATATGGTATGGTATGGTTTCAACGTTTGACCAACATCTCAATACAAACGTGTTATTAATGTCACTGTTTATATCCGTTTTGTCTTTGGACTGTGAGCGTTATCGTTAATATTAAATTGATGGTTGTAGCAAATCGAGTGTTTACTGTGAAATAAATCATTACAATTAAAAACGTAAAGTGTTTACAATAAACGCATGAAAATGTATTTATTAATTACTCCAAGTTAGCAGTATTAAAATCAAGAATAAGAAAATTCTACTAAGCTTATATGATACAACTATATGTCTCCTGACTTTGTACGTTCAAATTGCAAATGCTAGTGTTGACACATGGTGTATTTTGTCACAGAAGTCATATTCATGTTTGGGACTATGTGACAGGGCTTTGCGGCCATCTTCCTATCAAATGGCTATCTCGGTCGAATACAAGCACCTGCGGACCTCAACAAAGGCCCTCCCATTGAATCTGTGGCACAATTGCCCAGGGTAGGGGTCATTTTTTTTTGATGTTCAGCCTAAGTATGATTTGAACTTGGGTCTACCAATCATGAGTCTGATGCGACAATCACTATGCTTCCAGTGACCGGTCAGGAATCGAATTGACCGCATTAACCCATCGTGTACCACAGTCAGAAACTGAATAAAAAACTCTCTACAGATAATATTATTACTTTATCATTCGTCAACAGTTTTAAATCACATATTTACCACTTTTGAATAGGTTCTGGATCAAAATTATTTACGGGCATTGTCCTTTCATTTCATGTTACTAAATTGGCCTAAGCTAGGATTATACATGCGCACACACTGTTAACTTATTTGTATTTTCTATGGACAACAAAACAAATGTATTAGATTGCTGTAGACACTCCATAATGTAGACCTAGACCATGAATTATGATTTATCAGAACATACACAGTAATCGTTAGATAAATTAAATACACTAACACGCATATGCATTGAGTTTTATCGAGCACAAATTCGAATGTGAGTTATAGGATCAGCGTTTTTATGTCGTAATAGTTGACAGTATTCATCAGTATACAGTATCAAATAATATTAAATAGTGCGTGTTCTCGTCCATATTGCACTTTACTTTTTAAAGTAGATTTCCTTGTACAAAACATACGGGAAGCGTCTACGTTGTTATATATGCTTATTTATTCAATTTTAAATTGCTACTCTATATATGTAAGACATGATGTGATTTACAATATCCTTCTTGAAAGTGATAGGCGCGTAAAGTTGTTGACTCGTAGTTCCATTTTAAAAAATCGGCAAAGAGAACATATTTGAAAACAATCTACAGAGGAAGTTACAACTGGAACGTATAAATAAATCCCACACACACTTGGTGAAGTGAAGCCGAACACATTTCAGCAGCATGGTAAAAAAAACATGAAAAAAATTCACTATTCTAATGAATATTACCTTACATTGCTAACACGTTACAGAAATGATAGCAGTTAAAGGTCATGAACTGTGACACGTATATTCAAATGCAATGTTAATCAACTGACTGGATACTATATAATAAAAAAATAGGTTCTACTGAACAGTCAACGCAGTCAACATCAGGCAGCTCTTGTGTCCTGCGTACTCATCTATCAATTTATGTTTGTGGTCAGTATTTTCATAATTTTGGTGATATTCTTATAATATATAACCGCCTTTACAGTTAATTTGTTAAATCTTTGTAGGTTTTTTGGCAAATTATTTTATCATAGTATTTATGTATTATCTGTAATCTCATTGCAAAGGCCATCGTTTTGTAATTCGTATAGTCTGCTTTTGTTTACAGGTACGTGGTTCGAACCCTATGTAGCGTTCGTAATGTATGCATAACTTATATTGACTCTTAATTAGCTGACTCTTGACATGTTTTCTTTTTTAGTCAGCTATGTGTGTGTTGCCATATTTCTCACTATTGGTAACTGGGTTGTTCGCAGTCAAGGTATGACGCTCACTTATTTTCAAGTTGGGGGTACAAGCCAATGGCTAAATTGTTTTTGTCTGTGGGCGGCACGATGGTGTACTCATATTGTATACTGGATTAGATACATTGCACGCAGTTATTTAATTTATGATGTAATATGGTATAACGCTGTGGCCTCATTCTGATGTTTGTGGATATTTAATTTATTTTCATGGGTGATGGGGTCTATCCCGCGGCCGTATTTTATACTGCATCACGAGCGAAAATGACTTACATACCCCACGAATATCAGGGCGAGAATCGGATTTTGTTCAGATTGGACTTATGGGTACTTTTGGTAATACTCAGAGATGATTAGTTTTAGAGTCATGTACATGCTTATTGAGTAGCTTACATTTTAGTTATCTCATTCCAGCCTGTGTAAGCAAAATCTCAAAAAAGTTAGTACATATGTACATTAGGATAGGGCCGTGCATATCAAGTTGTTAATTTGCATAATAATTATATTCTTCTATTTTGTGTAATCAAAATTGCCCCTTCATTTGAGATTTGCAGAGTTTAACTTCGATGACATATGTTTCAAGACCTCACGAAAATTACCATGAAAGTCGTTACCACTTCATTCGTTGGTATCAGTGCACGCAAGGGCAGTGACCTATTTTAAAATATGTTCAATGATTGGTTAATCCGGCGTTACATTCTATTCATATGCAAACTTAGGTGGACTTACAAATGAAAGATACCGAACAATTTTTTTTTCACAATAAATACTAGTACAATATACTATGGACGTTTTTTTGAGACGTAAGGCGTCGCTATGTGTATTTCAACACCGACCGAGTACCGGGGCATCACTGGTAGAAACCCGCTAAAAGGTATGGAAGTCATCCAAGGGGCCTGTAAACTTGGTTTCAAAAGTCAAAAGGTCCTTTTTTGAAGTTTTCAGGAATTCAAACTGTGACGATATACTAGAATGCATTTAATGTGTGATATGTTACGATAGGTCCATTTTACCATTTGGATTTCCGGACCGTTATTTTCACAAAAAGGTTGACGCCTCGCGTAACCGTATTTATATTATTAAATCACGTGACACTCGCCCCACCCATATCCCGAGACCGAGTATTGCCATCAGGTATCATTGCCGGAGGCTATTTTCGAAAATTTAAAAGCTACACGTTTTGTTTTGTTTTAATTTTCTGATCAATATAAAAACGAAAGTTTGATTCGATTCCCTATTTCTGAAGAAAACTAACGTAGATTACAATTTGCATTTACAGTGCCACAAAACTTCGGTATTGACGTTTTTAGTTTGAGGTGTACTGTACCAGACTGTGAAAGTGGCTCGTTTGCATAAATTATTATTACATGAATACATGACTATTACAATATTGAACAAGGTTGTAACTATGAATACCACTGAATGAAAATTACAGAACCCTTTGACATTGCCCGAGCGTTTGTGGGGTATGACAATTCTTTTCAGGAGTGATGTGATGTATTCTGCGACTATGTGTCACCAATACAGCAAGGATACACCACGTGTGATCGTGTCTGATTGTCTTCGTAATCCTAACAGTATAACCAATCACAGAGCAGCTTATTTGTTGACAGATTGTTTTACGACATATCAAATTATGTCTTGTATATACGTATTGTGCCCTAGTTGACAAACGTAATATTTCAACATCAGAAGAATATAAGTTGAAAATTAGTTAAGCATACAAACTAATCTACGTGGAAATTCAACATTGACAATAGTATAATACTGGCATTCTAGTAATTAGTATCAATAATCTCAATTTTTCCAACTTTTGTGCCTGATTATTTTATGTGCATGTGTTAAATCCTATGTTTTGGGGACTAGGAGACAGAGCTTTATATAAAGATCTTCGTCATAATGACATTGTGGAAACTTCACATCTTCACACACTGTTGAATACTGACGTCGCTTCAACTTGGAAATCTTAAACTGCTAACAAATACAATCACATTTACGCGTCTTTCTGACGTTAGAACCCATCCAATATAATTAGGCCACAGGGTTTTCACCTATGTTCCTTTCTTGTGCCTTACAGACTGTGGGTGTTGTAACAATAACATGTTATAACGATAGTCCAATGGTCTTAGATTGCTCTGATAAAATAATCCATATCAATACTGCCAACTATGGACGTACTGATGGTGCTAGTACCTGTCCCCATACACATGTCAGTGATACCGATTGCCATTCACCAACCAGTCTATCCGTAGTACAAACCTACTGTGAGGGTCGTAGTTTTTGTTCCGTGCCACTCGAAGGTGCGACGTTTGGTCCCGATCCTTGCCATGGAACATATAAGTATCTTGAAGTGGATTATGAATGTGAGTATTTGATATATACATATTTGTATATCAACAAAGCGATGCCATAAATAAATACTAAGGTCTCATAGTTCAATCTATACTTTTATTTGCAAAACAAAACAAATATGTTCTATGTAGAATTGCGTATTGGGAAATTGTATTAACCACTGATACTGGTCCGGGTATTCGAAATGCGTATTAATGTTACTTTCTCTGTTCTATTTCAGGTGTGACACCAATACCTGGTGAGTCAATTGAGTACTACTACTATATATATATACAAGTGCATTTAAAAATTTAATATAAGTGCATTTAATACCGTTTGCTGTATAGTGTACATGGTATGAATAACGAATGTAGGAGATGTCGGAATTAGGCAGCGTTCAATGCTATATTTATTGCCAAAACATAAAGAATACTACATGTACTATGTTTACCTCTCAACAGACGTCGTTGAAGTTGGTTGCTTCAACACCAATACAGACGATGATCCCATTGAGTCTTTGGAATGCCGAGATGACCACTTAGTATCCCACCATCTGGAGCGTGAGAATCATGTAGAGAAGTGTGCCCAGGCAGCTGCAGCTAGAGGGTGGACAACTTTCTCATTGTTAGATGGAGGTGCTTGTCACTCAGATGCCGATGCATGTCAGAATCAGGACAACTTTGGAGAGACGACCGACTGTGGTGAGACTGGGACATCAACGAAACACGTGGTATATGAAATTATCCAAAGAGAGATAGTTTGTCAGGACGAAGTACTTCATCTCGAGTGCGATTGTGGATTCATTCATATAGTGAGTGCTAACTTTGGGCGTAGTGATCCATACACATGTGGAGGTCCTGTTTTGACAACTGACTGCTCGTCCGCTAGCAGTTTCAGTATCGTGCACGAGGCATGCGAAAGAAAAACGTCATGTGACATCCATGCGATTCACACTCTGTTTGGCGACCCATGTGTAGGCACCTTCAAGTACTTGGATGTAGAATACTATTGTAAGTAATTTATATAGTTTAAACTATATTTATACAATATATTCTAATTATGTATCCATGATAACTAAAGCATTATTGGGGTCTGATATGAGCTAAAATTCGCGCGAGAAATATTCACTAAACGTTCAAACTTCAATGATATTGAGTGCGTTCGAATGTTACTGTTACTGTTACTGTTACTGTTACTGTTACTGTTACTATTACTGTTACTATTACTGTTACTGTTACTATTACTGTTACTATTACTGTTACTG